TTTTGTGGGGGTCAGGATCAAAATTTCTAATTCCAGGTTGGGTTTAGGATTATTGGATTCAAAGGCAGTGAGTGGTGAGTGCTGGTGGTTTTTTTAATTTCGGGTATTGCATTCGGTTGGTTTAAACAGGGTGTGCCTTGCGTGATAATGCCTTCATCAATCGCTAAAAGTTTCTTGGAGGTGGAAGAAGTCACTTTGAGTGTTTTGCAGAAAGTGAGCTAGGCCAAGCTTTCGGAATTGGCAAACAAGTTGAAGTTAGAGTTGCCTCTGTCTGTGAGGAAAGGGGAAATAATTGCAGCAATAGTTCTACATTTACAATTGCCAGGAATGCAATCAGAATTATTGGAGATTGCTAAGCTTCAATTGTAAATGAAGCAGCTTGAATTAGAGGCAATGTAAAGGTTAAAAGAAAAAGTAAAATCAGCCCTGACAGAACAAAAAGGAAAGCATAGCCCTGGCAGAAAAAAAAGAAAAAGGAAAAGGAAAAGGAAAAGGAAAAGAAAAAGAAACAGTTTGAATTACCATTTAAAAACAGTAAAAAGAAAAGGAAAAGATGGCCCTAGCAGAGAAAAGGGAGGAGGAGACAGTTTTTGAACTTCAAAGGTTGGAACCGAAAATTCAAAGTTGACTTAAAATGGCAGAGGTTCAGGTGAAAGGTAGGAGTATTATTGAGGGCGTTGGAGAGCAATCTCGTCATAGCCAAAGGCCTGGTGAGGATCTGTTTAAACCTTTTTCATTTCATTTGAGAAAGTGGCTAAACAAACGGAATGGCTGGTGATCGAAACAAAGTTGGTAGGTAGAGCCTGTGAGGTATTTGCATGACTATCAGAGGTGGTATCTGGGGAGTATAAGGAGGTGAAAAATGCTATCTTAAGTGCATATCAGTTAGTACCAGAAGCTTACTGACAATGTTTTAGGAATTTGAGGAGGGAACGTGGTCAAATGTACACACAATTTGAAAGAATCAAACAAATTAATTTTATTGGGTGGATAAGGACATAGAAAATACAAACATGTGATGTTCTTGGAAAAATGGTTATTTTGGAGGAGTTCAAAAATTCGCTTCCTGAAATACTGAGAACTTAAGTGGAAGAGCAGAGAGTTAAAATGGCAAGATTAGCGGCCGAAATGGAGGATGATAACGAATGGTTCATAAATCAAAGCTCGGCTTCCGACATCAATTTCAAACCGTGAAGGATAGAAATTGGGGAAAAAGAGAAACCCTTAGGTGGTAAGGGAAAAGGAGATCTGATTGAAGATAATAAAGATAGTTTACCACGGGGTAAGAAGGAAACCCATGAGGGGGAAAGAGAAGTTTAAAACCTCTAGTGTTTTCACCGCAATAAAGCAGGCCACATGAAGTTGCAGTGTTGGTGGTTTAGAAAAAGCACTGGGAAGACAGACGTGGGCAAACAGGGTAATCCAGTGAATTTTGTTAAAGTGGTAAAGGAAAGCACAGTGGAAGCTAAAAGGCTGCGAAAGAATGTACAACCTGATCAGGTTGGTTAAGAAGAAAGTGCTAGATCCCTTTAAAGAATTTTCTTGTGAGAGTACTCATGTATGCCAGGAGGAGCAGGTAAAGAATTTAAGATTTTAAGAGATACAGAAGCAGGTCAATTATTGATGGTGAAAGATGAAGAGATATGTAATTCAGAAGTACTGCCAGAAAATGTGGTAATACGTGGAATTCATAGCGAGAAGAGCAATATTCCATTATATAAAGTGAGGTTGGAAAGTCCGGTGAAAAGTGATGGTAGGAATAATAGACAAATTCTTGATTTCAGAAATATAGTTTATCCTTAGTAATGATTTAGATGGATCACAGGTGGGAGTGATGCCAGTGGATGAAATACCAGTGGAAAATCAGGCAACTGAGGTATTATAGGAAGTATATCCTGGGATTCTTCCTGACTGTCTGGTAACAGAGTCACAAAGCCACGGGTTGAAGCAGGAGGAGAAATCAAGGAGTAAAGACAAAGAAGTTGAAATTCAATTATCAGAAACTATGTTTGATCAAATAGTTGAGGAAAAAAGAACAAAGGGTAGGTGGAGGACAATGTGGATATTTTTAATTCAGAGAAATTAGCTGAATTACAACAGAAAAAGGATTGAAACTGTGCCAAAACTAAACAGAAGAATCTGAGAGTTTCTCAGAATGTTACTATTTTAAAACAAAATCTTGATCAGGAAACAGAGACCATCACATATTCAGGCAGATGAGAGATGGGCAGAAGTTCATCAAGTTGTAGTACTGGTATATTCAAGAAAGGTGGTATTGCGGTTAACACAGGAATTACCATTAGTAGGTCATTTGGGAGTAAGGAAAACTCCAGCCAAAATACAAAAACATTTTTATTGGCCTGGGCTGCATTAGAATGCGGTTGGATTTCGCCGGACATGTCATATGTGTCATGTAATAGGAAAATCTCAGACATTGATAAAACCAGCACCCTTAACACCCATTCCCAAATTTGAAGAAACTTTTACAAGAGTCTTAATTGATAGTCTAGGATCCCACCTAAAACAAGAAGTGGGTATCAGTATTTGTTGACCATAATGGATGTATCTACTAGATTTCCAGAAACCAATCCATTATGCAGTACCACAGCTAAAAGCACTGTAGAAGAATTACTCAAATTTTTCACTAGATGTGGATTACTCACAGAAATATAATCGGATCAAGGGTCAAACTTTGCATAAAAGTTATTCAAGGAAGTTATGTATAGCTTAGGAATAAAACAACTCAAATCTACTGTGTACCATTCAGAATAGCAGGGAACATTAGAACAGTGGCATCAAACATTAAAGACCATGTTGAGGTCTTAGAGTCAAAACTATTCAAAACATTGGGATAAAGGAATTTCATTTGTACTTTTTGCAATTAGGGATGCACCAAATGAATCAACTAAATTCAGTCCATCTGAATTAGTTTTTGGGCATGAGGGTTAACAGGACCACTGAAATTAATTAAAGAGAAACTGGTGAGTCAGAGTTCAGACAGCACACATTTGGACTATGTATCAAATTTTAGGGGAAGATTAAACAGAACTAGACTGCATTTGAAAGTAGGTGATGAAACAGGAAGTAGACAAGAAAACAAAAATTCATAATTTTGCTAATGGAATTTAAGTCTTAGTGTTACTCCCAGTGGTAGGCGAACCTTTAAAGGCAAGGTTTAGTGGGCCTTATCAAATCGAAAGGAAATTGAGTGAAGTGAATTATTTGATAAGAACGCTAGATAGAAAGAAATCTCAGGGTGTCATGTGAATATGCTCAAAAGATATTCTGATTGGGAAGGATAGCAAAAGGAGAATGTGGTACTGGTTACCACAGAGAGTGAAGAACCAAGTTTATATAATTCTGAATTGGACATTCCTCAAATTAATTGGACAATGAAGAAGTTCTCAAAAATTGGCATAAATTACCAAGTTTCCTTCCAGTGGAAAATCAAAATGACTTGAGAGAGTTAGTACAATCACATGGGGAAATATGCAGGATAAGATTAGAAACACTAACCTGATTATGCACGATGTAGATATAGGAAACGCTGTTCTGCTATTTCAATTAAGCAACATCCTTATAGACTTAACCCTCTAAAGTTGGCACAGGTTTGAAAAGAGATTGAACGCGTGCTCAAAGACAATATAACCAGTGAGTTGCAACAAATGGAGCTCAACCATAACAATGGTGCCAAAACCAGATGGTACCCATCAATTACGTGGGGACTATCGCAAAGTCAATGTAGTTACAAAATCTGATTCGTATCCTCTTCCGCATTTGGAAGACTGTATTGAAAAAGTGGGACAAGCAACTTGTATTTCTAAGTTAAACTTAAAGAATACTGGCAGGTACCTTTAACTAAAACAGGGAAGGAAATTTCAGCTTTCATGACACTGAATGGACTGTACCAGTTTAAAGTCATGCCAATTGGTGTTAAAAATGCACTAGCCACATTTCAAAGACTAACTAATAACGTCATTTTGGGATTACCCAATTGTGTGGTGTACATCGGTGATATGGTGATTTTTAGTCACACATGAAAGGAACATTTGGATCATCTCCTGGAATTGTTTGATGGACTTCGGGAGGTGTGCTTGGTGATAACCCTGGCTAAGAGTGAGTTTGCAAAAGTCCAAGTCATGTTCCTGGGCCGTACCACAGGACATGGTAAAATGGTCCCACAGGATGTGAAAACAAAGCTTATTGGAGAATTTCCTACACTATTGATGAAATGGCAAGTAGTACGATTCTTGGGTCCGAGTGGTTTTTATTGGAAGTTTGTACCAAATTTTAACAGTGTGGATACTCCACTGACTGACTTGTTGAAGAACTGCAGAAAATTTGAATGGATGGAGGAATGTCAGAAGACATTTGACAGCCTGAAAGCTGTGTTAGCCACTGCTCCAGTGTTAGCTACATTTAACTATGCAAAGACACTCAAGGTGGTTACCAATGTGAGTGATGTGGGTGTAGGGGCTGTACTCTTACAAGAAGACATCAAGAAGATAGAAAGATCTATTCGGTATTTTCCAGAAAACTGAATAATCAGCAACAGAAATATTCCACAATTGAGAAGGAGAGCTTAAGTTTGGTGTTGGTGTTGCAATATTTCAACATTTACATTGCCAGTAATGTGTCTGAGACAATTGCATATACTGATCACAGCTCCTTAAAGTTTTTGGCAAAATTTACTGTTTATATGGAGCTTATTATTACAGCTATTCAATGTGAAAATTATACATGAGGCAGAGAATGTAATTGTTGACATGTTGTCGCGACTTTGATGAAGGAAGATGGAGGCATTTGATGGCAGGAGAAAACAGACTGAAATGGATTGTAGTAGTGAATGTTTGCATGGTCAGAGTCAATGAAACGTACAGGTACTGTAGTGTACTAATAGCATAAGGCTAAAGGTTTTTAAAAATGAAGCCATCTTTGTATATTAAAAAAAAAATCAATGATCCAGAAAATCCTGAGGACAGTCTCCTCGCAAAACTCACATCAGGGGTTTCACTGGGGATGCTGTTCTCTTCCCTCTTGCGTTCCTCTTCTTCCTGTTCCAATTCTTTTATGCTTTCTTCTAGTACATTGGGCCAAAAGTCACCCTCAAAATAGGGCAACTCATTTGCACTGGTCAGACGGTCTTCTGTTGCCTGTTTGAAGATATCCTGCCAGCAAAGCAAAAATAAATCACCATTAAACATCACAATCTCTTGTTAAAAAATCATATAATAAAGCAAAAAGCCTTTGCTTAAGTTTAAGTTAGTGTGAAAAGTAATCAAGGGATGCTACAGAATTTGACAATATACTATGTCAAAGAAGAGAAACATGTTGTTATTTTACAACCAAATACATACCAATTATTTAAGAGGGATTAATTGCTCTATTGGTAGTATTGTCATCTCTACATGAAACTTTTGTTGGTACATTACTGCATTCAAGATATTATCACTCAGCTTTTGACATAATTTAGCAACATTTCAATCTATATGGTCTAATTTACTGAGCTGTGCTGAGTGCTAGCTGGATAAACATGCATTTGTAGGGCGGGGGTCTTGCATTGATTAACACCAGTTACCCTAATTTGGTTGATTTCAATGAGGAATTTGCAGGAAAAACCAACTGATTTGGCGAGAAAGACAGATCTAAACAGATAGCTTTAGAGTTGGTGATTTAAATGAACGGTTCTATTATCAACTTTAAAAGGTAGAATTGAGCAATCTAAGGATCTATTACACTTCTACTGAAGAATAGCCGTGAGTGCAGTAACTCTTTAACAGATATCTTTAGCTGCATGCGCATGAACATTGCCTTGCACTCAAATCTGCACCATACTGGAACCATTAGAAAAGCTTACAAGAATGGCTGCACAAAGTTTACTACAACTTAAAAGTATCATGGGTCATTTATTAACCACTGAAAATACTGGCCTCCTGTTTCAGGGCTCAAAGTCAGCTCACAGGAAGTGATGAGAAAGGGTGTTGTAAAATACCTGATGATAACACACTTTAAGACTTTAACCTGGCAGTAAAGTGTCAGATAATTGTATTTTCTGTGAAGTTATCTGCCCAACTATATTATCAGAAAGCAGTGAACATTCCCAGTTGTTATCGACCATGTGAAGTGCAAACTGCAAATTGCTCTGGCCCTTGGTAAGATGGAGAATGTGTGTCTGCCTGAATAAGACAGGTTAATTATACAGATTTTTAATAGTTTGTCCAGGTACGATTTTCATTTCTAAATAATTTTTGTATGGTGAGGGACACCTTTCACAGAAATCTTTGTTGCAGAGACCTGGGAAGTGCAACCATTTCAGATCATCTTGCAAGATCAAGATGAAGAGAGGAAGCTTGGGAGAATGTACCTTTGAACACTTTAGTTAGACAAATGAACAGTGGATAGCATTACAAATTACTATCACACTGAAGGGACTGAACTACTTTGGGGAATACATAAGCCACTTTTAAAACATAAGGAGGAAAACAGAACTTCAGAACAAACCTTATAATCATGTATGATTCGCTCAGCAAAAGCTTTATCCAGCATTTTCTTATACCATTCCTGCAATCGTTTGGGTTTGGGGATTTTCTGGTCTGCTGGATGGCAGTGAAAGATGTAATCATCACCTTCACTGGGAGGGCAAGCCCAGATATGGCCCTGTGTAAAGCTGTGGGAAACAGAGAACAAAATGCACTGTATTGTTCAGATAACTGTTACAGTACTAATCTAGGTCAGAAGTCACATGACACCAGGTTACCCCCAAAGTTTTTTTTGAAATCACAAGCTTTTAGGCTGCTGCTCCATTGTCAGGTGGACATCAAATAAACCTGTTGGGACTATAACCTAGTGTCATGTGACTTCTCACCTTGTCCACCCCAGTCCAACACTGTACCTCCACATTAGCGCTAATCTAAATCAGAAGGAAAATAGCAAAGAGATTTACTGATTTCAGTTTAAGTTCAAAATCAAAAACCTTAACTGTAAATAATACAAAATTTAATTACTGTGAATTTTGGAAATCTGAAATGAAAACAGAGAATGCTGGAAATATTCGGCTGGTGAGGCAGCAGCTATAGAGAGAAATACAGTTAAAATTTCATATCTATAAAACTTACAACAGAATTTAGAAAAAAAACAGAAACATTAAAAAGTTTAAAGTAATTGAAACAGGGAAGATGAAAAAAGAAGAAAAGGAAAAGCCTTTGATCGGGTGAAAGTCACAAATGAAAAATGGGGAACTTTTAAAAATATTCAACAACTCAGCACCCAGAATTCTTGGAGTGGAGAATTCTAAGAAGTTGGGCTTTACACTCTTCACCCAAAAAAAACCTTTGAGCATCTAAAATGCTGTCAAACCAATCATTGCAGCTCAAAAGATGATTAAGATTGGCAATACTCATCTGGATAAGCAGGACATATTAACCATAAAAATAGTATTTTATCAGGTATAAAAGCAGCATTAGGAATGTTGTAAAAGCATATGACTGCAGCAGTAATGGAATGAAGATACTTTTAGTCATGAACAAGTCAGATAACAACCATTAACGTCCATAGAATGGTTACAGTGTAAAATAATGCTAATTAACAATACAAAACTTTAGTGTCTCAAAGATTTGGTGTAGTGTGACTGGTTTTATTACATATAGATGGAGAAAAGTAATCAGATTTTAAATAGTTGTACATGAGGGATGCCATAAGAGTACATAAGCTTAAGCAATGTTAATAAACAGGGCAGGATATAAATATTAGGAAAATACAGACTAACATGGACTTTGAGGGGACATAAAATGTTTGGATTAGGCATTGTAGATCTACAATACATGAATATAAAATCCTAAGCAAGAATCTGGTTAGATGTCAAGAAGCAATTTCTCTCAAAGTGCCAACCATTGATCAGGTAGTATTGTTGCCTTTGAGTCACAGGTTCTGAGCTTAAAAATTCGGGCAACACTCTTGCATGGGACTGAGGGTGAACTGCATTTTTGGAGGCATTAGCTTTTGGATGAATGATTTAAACTGAGGCCCCATTTGCTCTCTCTGGTGGATGTGAAAGATCCAATGGTTCTGCTTTAAGAAAAGTAGGGCACTAATCCAAAATCTTTTGGTCAATACATGTAACTCAGTTAGCAGTATGAAAACTAACTGTTTGATCATTATTACATTGCTATTTGGGGGAAGACTGTTGTGTGAAAGCTACCTGTAGTGTTGTTTATATTACTACAGTGACTATACTTCAACAGTACACCATTAGTTATGAAGTACTTTGAGACATCCTATGGCCATGAAAACAGCTATGTAAATGCCAGTTTTAATAAAAGTTTATCTGATAAAAAACAAAACACATATGGAGGGTCTGTGGTGTTGGCCTCGGAAATGGAGGCAGTGGCATTAGCAGCGATGTCGATGGCGTTCGCTGTCCCGGAAGTGGTGTACCCGGCGGCGGTGGATGTGACGTCATCCGTGGGTGCTCCGAAAGTGGCCACACACGGCCAATAGCGGTGGGCACATTGTGGGAAAGGTCCTGGGTAGGGTTGGGGATTTGGGGGTGGGGGGAGGAAGCCCGTTTTGGGTGGCAGGCACCAGTAAGTTTACTGTACTTACGGTTTTTAGTGTCCAATAAAGCTGAGTGGAATTGAGAGTTCAGGTTGTGGATCCTACGAAGAATAAAAAACAGGAGAGGTCCTTTGCAGGTCTGGGAGAGGGAGGCTGTGAGCTGGGGTAGGCTTGATTGTAGTGCCAGGATATGCCGGCGCATCACTGCGCGTGTGTATTTCAGGAGTCGCAGGGAGAAACGTTTTTGGAGGATCTCAATGTTCTGAATGTAGACATTGTTGCTGCTGGGGCCAAATTGGGAAGGCCTGAATGTGGACTGTAGTCCATTGGGGATGATCCGGTTCCGTAGACAGGAACTAAGAAAGGTAATGTGGCTGTAGTACCTGGTTTGCTTCAGGACGTGGTCAAGCAGTTTCAAGGCCGAAGAGATTATGAGAGAGTTGCAGTGGGAGAGAGATCCACTGAGGATTTTCCGGAGGGAGGAGGGTAACTTCTTCAAGGTAGGCATCCTTAGAAGAGGCTTCGCAGTGGGGTTAAAATTGTTTCAGAGACAGTAGGATACTATCTCTGACACATATGGAGGGTACAGGTTCAAAGTTACTCAACAGTTCCCCTAATAAAGGGGTATTTGCAACTGAACTAGCCAGATTGTTATTAACTGGGATAAAAATTATGGTTAGAGATAGCAAGAACTGCAGATGCTAGAGTCAGAGACAACATAGTATGGAGCTGGAGGAACACAGCAGGCTGGGCAGCATCAGAGGAGCAGGAAAGTTGACGTTTTGGGTCGGGACCCTTCTTCAGAAATGGGGAGGGGGAAAGGAGCTGGGAAATAAATAGAGAGGAGGGGTGGGGCTGGGGAAGGTAGGTGGGTTGGTGATATGAGTGTGCAGGTAGGGAGTGGTGGGAACTGGTCAGTGGGATGGGTGGGGCGGATAGGTGGGAGAGAAGATGGACAGGTTGTGTTGGGTCAAGGAGACAGATGTGAGAGGGAGGGTTGGACATGGGATGAGGATGGTGGGGTGGGGAGATTTTAAAACTGGTCAATTCCGTGTTTAGGCCATCGGGCTGTAGGCTGTCAAGGCGGAATATGAGGTGTTGCTCTTCTAGTTTGTGGGTCGTGTCATTGTGACACTGGAGGTGGTCCAGGACAGACAGGGAGTAGGAGGTCTAGTCAAAATGGTTGGCGACCGGAAGGTGTTGTCATTTGTCGCATACAGAAAGCGCAGATGCTCTAGAAACAGTTATCCTGGGCCTCCTCCAGTGTCACAATGAGAGAAATGCTCCCGACCCGAAACGTCAACTTTTCTGCTCCTCTGATGCTGCCTGACCTGCTGTGTTCGTCCAGCTCCATACTGTGTAGTCCCTAAAAATTATGGTTATCAGTTTTCATGAAATTTTGTTTGACTGCCTTTGGAAATGAGTGGTTTTCCTGAATTAACTCCTCTTTCTTTCCATTCTGCCAAGATAGAGCAGTTCAGAGTGGTACAATAGTGTGTACAATAGGAGAAGGGCATAGCTTGTTTGCATTTCTTTTCCCTGTTACATAAAGACAAATAAATGACAAAGCCTGACTTTCATTAAAATCAAACTCACCCAAGTTTTTTCACATATTCCAGATAACCAATTAAGATTTCATGATAAACTGCAGTTCGGAGGCATCTTGGGCGGAAGAAGTGAATACTGTCGAGGTAAGATATGTACACACGTCTGCAAAATTTTGTAAGAAAAACAGGATCAGCCACTAGCTTGAGATTAGAAAGGTCATATTCTTCATTCATTAAACATCCACCTTATGGGGCCAAAATAAAGTGAATACTAGTTTAAAATACATGTTTCTCCTGCAACAAACATTATTGTTTTTGGTGCTTCAATCAGACACATTTGCCCACTCTTTTTAATAGCATGAAATGTTAATTTCTCTATTGTGCAAACTGCTACCATTACAAACTGAGGGGAAAAAGGGGAACTAAAACAAACTGCAAATAATTTGCTAAGATATTGTATGCATGGTTTGCCACTACCTTGTATTAGGAGTTGGACAGTCTGATCCATATTCCTGTACATGCATTCCGAAGAAACAGACATCCACACCATCAATCTCTTCAAAAGCAAAAAGTGCTTTGGTTCTATAAGGAAAGGTCTCTGACATTTCGCCTGTGTCCACAAACCTGAAAGAAGAAAAGGGGCCACGTTTATGCAAAATCTGAACTACATTAGAGCACAATCTTCTCTTCGGTGCAGATGCAAAAAAATCTACTATTTAACAACCAATAAACGGCAAACCAGAGTAGGAATTGAGAAAATCATATCAAAACTTCTCCTCATATTGATGCAAAAAGTCAGAAACTGGAACATGCTTTGAGCTTATTTTCTCTTCCACAATTAGTCACATGAACTCTACAACACTGACAAAGCTGGAAGTGTAAATGTAGGCTTCCATACATCAATGGGTCTAGCTAATCTTATGAATCCAAAATTAACACCCAGCAGACAATGTAACAATGCTACAATTGTGCCTCAAATTTTTAAAAACTTTCTCAGATTTAGACCATCTGCACAACTGTGTTTTCCATTTCTTCCCTTCTTTACCCCGACACATCCAATTTACCTAGTTTGACCGAAATTTCATCTTTTGGAAATTTCTTCTCACTGTTTGCTTTCTCTAATCCTTTCCACTCAACTCATGACCATCTGTTCCTTTACCTGGCCTATTTCCACACTAACATCCAACTCATAACCTTTCTTATATCCTTCTCTTCAAAACTGACACCATCTTCTCTCAAAAAATTCATTCTAATCCATCAGGCCTCCAACAATTGTTCCATATTTTATTTCACTTTCCTGTCAATGCTCCTCAAACATATCATTAATAGTGTATTAATTAGGTGTTCAATTGTATTCATGTATTGGACATTAATTGAGGACTCACCTTGCTCATTCATGTTGGACCAGGTTGAAACGGTGTTGGCTGGGTTGGAAGTAGACAATATATAATGTGTCTAATAAATAAAAAGCTTTAAACATATAAATACTTGGTGCAGTATTCTAGTCTTCACACCACCTGGTGATCTGAGTTCTAACATTTCCCACAATCCCAGGGCAGTAACCATTCCATTCCAGACCCCATTTGACCCACTTCTGCCCGGAATTGAAATTAATGAATTATTTCACGTACTTTACCCGCTTCTTGTCCTAGCTGCATCATTTATCTGTCACCATCTCTTCCTGATCTACAAGCTGCCTCTCCAAATCATCATCTGCATGCACCAGTTCAACTTCCAGGAGTTTTCTCAGGCAGAAAGTAATTATAAAACTCACAAGTAGCCATATTTTTCATGACATTATAGATAAAGAATGTACTCAATAACTTCCAGACATTTCCTTCACTTGCCTGCTTTTCATTCCTGGTTTAACTTCCACAGTTTTATCAGAGCTGGATACTACACGAACATACACTTCGCCCGCCTCAGGATGATTCTGGCGTCGCAGAAATTTGTTCACTCTGTCTTCTAAATGATTCCCTAACCTGGTTGTCTGTAACCCTATAAACAGAAACAACGTAAGCAAACATGAGGAACAGAGTGAAATCCAGTTTACAATCTGCCAATTTCTCGAGTTAGGAGGTACATAATAATAATTAATTGGTAGAAAGCACTATGATAATTGAAGTGCGACAGCCATATTGTACAGGATCAAAAATCTAATCAGTACATATTTGTACACCACAATCTTTTGTTTCTGTTTAGGATAAATGCAGAGATAGCCATTTTGTAGAAGGGTTACGGCTTCCCTCATGATTCGTAAGCAGCAAAGCAATTCTGTCAAGAAGAATACAATAGCACCATATCCCCAACAGCTCTTTCTAGTCTGGTCTGTATTCCAGTATTACTTCCCATAGGGAGCACCCAACTGGACAGATACGATTTTAAAATCAATAATGAGAGCTTGCGCTGAGATCGAGTGGAAAAGAGCTTAAAATCAATCTTCTGAAAGGTGAAGACTGCAGGTAAAGTTCTGGGTGGCCAATTTACACAGGATAACAACTGCAGCTTTAGCTACGTACAGTCACAGCGTCAAACAAATGGAAACAGACTCTTTGGTCCAATCAGTCCAAGCCTATCTTTTTAAAATCTTTCTCCTCTCACCTTAAACTATGCCCCCT